ATATTATTTCAAATTACCTCTGCTGTTTTAACAATTCAACTTGGTAAATCCTTTTCGAATAAATGAAATTAGACAAAAAAGAAAACAACAAAATACTTTATCAAATGTCCAACAAGTTATATCAAATGCAATATCACCCTGCATAGGCACCCTGCAATATCACCCTGCACTCAGTGTGCAATATTAAAAAGGAACACCTTAATAACTTTTGATCAAATGATATGATTTTCACGTACAAAAATGCAACCTTAATGGTTTGAAAGACTGAATATAAATATGCTAATTAATTATTGCAGATAATATTTTAAGTTAAGAAAATAGTCCCAAAAACGTACTTTCTCGGAATTTATATCGACTAGCATAGATTTTTAATCCAAGAAAATATGCTGCAATTAGTTTAGTCCGCTTAGTCACTTTTTCAACATTTATTCCCTAGTTTCATTGTTTGCGTATTTTCATCACCTCTATTGAACTTTTCAAGTGGTTTGCAATCTTTTTGCATACTATTGTATAACTCGTTTTACAATTATCATTTATGATTATTCATTTAATTTAATACATTTAAAAATATTTATGCTCTAAACTATAGATATTTACCTACTTTTAATCTCAGTAATTTCTAATGACAAAATTAAAAATTTAAACGAGATAAACCGAATAGTTTCTAAGTAATATAATTTCAAGAAAACCGTATTTTTTTTATTTTTTTTTTCTTAAGAACTATTCAACCAATTCCTTTCAAATTTTGAATTTTGACATTTAAAATTAAGTAGTTAAAAATAATGTAAAAATTCGTATGTTTTGTACCTCAAACACTTTCCTTCTATTATTGAATATAAGAATAAAAATAAAAAATAAGAAAAACAATAAATGATTATAAAAAATACTTTTAAATGGAATTATCTCTGGATAAACAGAGTTATAAAAGCTTGCTCCGCTTTGTAGGGAAATTAAATTAGTGGTTGTCAAGTTTGGATTTTAAATTTTTATTCTTAAATTATTAAACTTTATTCAGAGTGATTTTGTTTACTGATATATGCATATAAATAATCAAAACTTACATATATACATAATGCTTCCTTATTCCAGTTGTATGAAGCTTTTGAAGCATTTTTAGCCTAAAACTCTGATCTAATTTTCTGCCTCCTAGTAAAATGTTTTTCTCAAGGCAGTGCATCTCTGAAAAAGGGAAATAAAAATGTCTTAAAAAAGTTCGATTAAATTGTTCAAGCAATAAAGCTTAATTAATGAGTTATAACTCCGGAACGCTCTTCTCACCAAACTTTCCACATTGTGACATATCTTAATATTCAAGAAAACGATTCATGAAATGCGATTTTGTGTGTCTAGTCTAGTAACTTAAAATCTTGTCTGCACAAAGTATTTCAATTCATTATTTTTCAGAATTAAGATTGAAAGTTAGTACTTAAAAAACCAGATATAAAGTTATTCAATAGTTCCGTTTCTTATTTTGCACTTTTCATTAGAAGGTTAATTTTAAAAAATGATTAAAATGAGGCAACAAGTTTTTATAGTTTTTAAAAAGTACAAATTATTTTTTGTTAATACGAGTCTTGCCGTAGCTGAGAATCTTAGACAAAAGTAACCTTACAACTTGAGAATAAATTTGTCTGATGAAAGTTATAAAATTAGATATGTAACAAATGTTTGCCGGGTGAATGTTTTCAGTTTTGATATGTAATAAATACTTGTCTGATGAATATTTTTAGACTTGACGTGTTACAAATATTTGTCTGATGAATGTTTTACGATTAGACATGTTTCAAATATTCGTTTCTTATTAGGATGTGATGCTAAGAGATATATAGTTTATAATGATAGTTTTAAAAGGGCCAGAACACATGTTTTTTTTTTTTTTTTTTTAAATTCCATCCATTGTTTTGAATTTTTGTATTCTGTTTATTCATACAAAAAAGTCTTAACGCACATTTTATGAAACATTTTATCTGAATTTTAAAAATTGGCAGCTCTAACTGATCTGAAAATATTGCGTTTCAATATTAATATTTTTTATTCATTTTAATAAACTCCAAATAAAAAGCTACGCATCAGGTCTTAAATAGTTTTTGAATTTTTCTGAGAATGTTATTAACAATTATGGGGAAAAAATCTTTATAGAATTTAATTTCTGCTCAATTATGGTAACTTAGAAAAAAGCAATGGTTACTTTTTTGAGAAGAAGAATAGAAGATTAAATGCAATTTTAAATGTTACATTATTAGTAATATGGTATGCCTATTTTAGCCTGATTTTAATGTTTAAATTTTCATTCATTAACTTCAACCATAGTTTTATTATGAAGTATCAATTAAATGTTTTTTAATAAATGGAAAAATATCATGCAAATCCATTAGAAGAAAATCTTTAAAAAATGTTTATGATAAGAAATAGATTTATTTTTTTCGTTTCAACTCATTTACGCTCGAAAACAAAAAATTAATTAAATAATTTATCCGATTTTCAAAGTCCTCGACTTGAGGACGAAATTTAAAATATTGCTAAAAAACATGAGTTTGAGTATTTGAGAAAGTTGGTTGTTTAAAAGTTTTTAATAAAAAAATATTAACTTAAAATGTCATTTAAGCAAAAATTGCAATTATAAATATCATAACAATATGCATTCAGGATATAACAATATATATTCACAACGAATATTATTTGGGACCGTTCATTAATTTTTATTAAAGATAGCTTCTTATTCTTTACAGTAATTTTTAATTGTTAGTAATATTACTACTAATATTAAATTTGTTTACAATATTGGTTGTCTTTGTCCTATAAACTAAATAAATTTAAAATAAATCGGTTTAAGAAAATTGTTTGAATAAATTTAAAGTACTTCTTGTGAAAAAATGAGTGTTGTATTATCAGTTGTCAAAAATTGGTGTGCCTAATATAATTTGAAACATTTTGTATCAAAAATTTTTAGATAAATTCTAAATCTATGATATTTTTTAGTATTGAAATTAGTTTTTCATCCAAATTCTAGTTTTATAAAAAAAAAAATTTTCTTCATAGACTAATACACATTTTGAGTTTAAATATAAAATTTTGCAAGAGTTTTCCCTGAGCTAGATTAAACTATGTTGAAAGATAGGAAGGAAACAAATAAATCTAAAGCGAAATCCGGGAATTTGGAAACCTGGGAATGAAAGGATTGGAATTTTTAACGTAATTCTTTTAATATTTCTGAAATGTTTTTTTCCGAAACAGTTCCTGATGATCAAACTATTTATTGAAAGTAAAAAAGTTTTCACATGAGATTATACAGATATTATTTATCAGATGTCTCATGCAAAATTCTAAAGATATAAAAGCGAAAAATTTCTGTAAAACTAAAGAAAAATATGCAGAAAAGACTCAGTAATTTTTCAGGAAAAAATAAGTAAAGTAAAAGTAAAAAGAGTAAAAAAAATAAGTAAAGTAAAACAGCCAATTGTAATGAGTAAAGTAAAACGGTTTTTCGAAATTATAAATTTTTTCATCTCTGAAATAATAAAGGACATTATATACTGAGAAAATCTGTATGGCCAAAGCTATGAGAATATGGTAAGATTTATCATGTTTTGGGCTCAATGGTAATACAAAAAATTCGGTCATTTTTACCAAAACGCTATAGTTATGATTTTGGTGAAATTAACAATAAAATATGGTTCCAACTAAGATGAATGTGGTACAATTTGGTAATTTTATCATGATATTATATTTGGTAATTTATCATGATATTATATTTGGTAATTTATCATGATATATTTTATCATGAGCATGGCATGAAAAAATATCCTGTTAAATTTACTTTTCTAATTAGCATTTTTTTTGCAAAATGTGTGGTAATATGAGCTACAATTTTGAAAAACAGAATTCCTGCAAACCGTTACCATATGAACGGAAAAATTACCATATAAATGGTTTAAATATTGTATATTTTAGTTTTATTAACCAGAATTTTGGTTTTATTTAAGAGAAACGTCATTACACTACAATACTGTAATATTTTCCTGAAATTTTCCCTGTGCATTAAAGCAGAAACTTAATCCCTATAGTGTGAAAAATTCCTTATCAAATTTCGGTAAAAAGTACTGGTACCCTGATAGTATTTTTAATGTGAATTCCATTTTTACCATAAGATTTCATAAAGCAAAAATAATCTCTAATTTTTACAGTAATATTTAAAGTAAAATCACTGAATCACTTTAGTTAAATAAATATTACTGAAGTAGAAATTGATTTTACGGATGCAGCACTCAAGAGTACTTATTACTGCAATTTGATCCAGAATGTTTTTACTGTGTTCAACATGATTAGAGCAAAAGCAGATCGAACCGGATTTGTAGCAAATTGAATGAAACCTCGGCCGAAGTCGTGTTAAACAAAGAACACCACAATAAAGAAGCAGCTGCTTGCCTATAAAATCAATAGAATTACATTGCAATATCTCAAATTAAGACACTATACTGGAATACTTAAAGAAAAACAAGTATTTTCCAATTTTTCATTCACGAGTTACATGCGTTTGAATATGAATATGCATTCATGTAATTTAACAGAAATTCTAGTAATCGAAATAAACGGGTTCTGAGTTGGGTTCAAAACTACATGCCTATGGAGTTGAACGTTGATAGTTGTAAACTCAAAATCGGTTTGGTTGTTCAACGCCGGTTGTAAAATAAAATAAACGATATCAAAATTGTGCCGCTCGGTGTAAACATTTCCCAATATAAGAGTTTTAATTTTAACTACACCCTTTTAATTGAATACAAAAGTTGCATTTAGTGCTAATTTGAACAAAAAAGTGCTCCTTTTTTGGCTTGTTCACTATCAAATTCAAAGAGATAGTTAAACACAGTTTTCACAGTGTGAACTATATTAAGCCCTTTATCGTTAACCTATTTTACCTTTATCGTAACCTTTATCGTAATCTTATTCATACAATTGTTGCATAGAAATGATATCTCTATAATATTATTTTATCTTTTCAGAATCACAAGAATGAATTATATGAAAGTTGTGGGTTGTTTGATGGTTAAAAGGGGCTTCCAAAAATCATGAGTCCAACTGCTTACTCTTCAAGCAACCGCCCTCCCCCTAAAGAGGGTTCCCTCACTCTCGAGGAGAAAAGGTTTCTTGTTGCCGTAGAAAGAGGAGATTTAGCATCTACAAGAAGGTAAAGTAAAAAAATAAGGAAATAAATCCACAAGCTTTATAAAAATTTTCGAGAATTTCAGGGAATTTTTACTTAAATATTTATGAAAACACAATTATTTTTCTTTGATATCACTAATGCTTTTTTATTAAAAAAAGAAAGATACTGCTGAAAAATTACTTTAAACTCTATCACATTTTTATTTTCATTAAAAATATTATTCCTTTACTCAACTTTGGTCGAAATTTGGTCATGATTTCTATAAGACTTGAATTCGTAATTAAGAATATTTTGGTCAAGTTTAAATAGATTTATTTGTGAAAGTATGTAGGATTATTCGTAAGATTTAACAATACATTTCTTGTAAAATTGTTTGCAAAAATCTTAAATGTAATATAATAACGTATTAATTATATAATAACGTAAAATATTAATTTTATTAAAAGAAAACATTTCTTAAACAGAGTTTTAGAATTAAGTGTTTACAGATTAAAAATAGGTTAAAATTCTAAGAATGTCGTCTTTACTTCCGCTTTTTCTTGTGGCGCTGCTCGTATTTATTACTCATGTTAGCCGCTAAAAATTGCGTGATATGGTTTTTACAGTGGTTATACCACGCATTTTTGACGAAATTAAAATAAAACAAATTTGGTTTTTGCTGTAACAAGGATTTTCAAACTGTGAAACTGAAACAAAAAAACTTTCTTTATGATAATTTTGTATTCTTATATATATGCTTTTATTGTTATAGATGGAAACACGGATTATCATTATAAATCATACTAATTTAATGAAAAATTAAGTCTGTTCATTCCATATCCTCAAATTTTGGTAAAAATCACAAAAATGCTGGATAGAGCAAATAAATGGCACTAACTGTGCTGTTATAACATATTTTTCATTCCACTTACAAACGAAAAAAATTGAAAAAAAAGTATACTCGCAGCTTTGAAACCGCTTTTATACTTAATGTGTATATTTTTAAAAGTACTCAAAAAATATTAAATTAAATTATAAATTACTAATTATTAAAAATACAAAACTAACGAAATATCAAGATAATTTAAATAAATAAAAGAATAATTTCCAATGCACTCGGTTCATAAAGAGAAGACTACCCCTTGGCGATCAATGAAAAGTGAATTTCCTGTATTTAATTTGATTTTGACTTTTGAGAAGGCTAGATTTGTCTGTCTATTCAAACTGAGCAAGAAAGTGAGAGAGATATGAAAGAATGATGTAAAGCAACAGTCAGTTCATAAAGATTTATCTGTCTATTCCAATTGAGCAAGAAAGTGAGAGAGATATGAAAGAATGATATAAAGCAAAGAGTTATGGTTCAAGTTAAGGGGGGGAAAAAGATGACAGCGAAAAACTCACGTAACAAGTAATTAAACGTACAAAAACTGTAAAAATGTTTTTCAAAATAGTAAATACAGAATGAGTTTAAAGTCACGCACATCGAACGTCAATGGTCTGTTAAGAAAGGATATAAAATCCATATGAAAGAAAAGTATCATAGAAATTATTCGAAATGTTGGCTTTTATTTTTATCAGAAAATGTTACAAGATACAATAAATATTCGAAATGTTATTCTCTTTCTCAAATACCAAAGCGTATTCATTTTACTAGTTTCTTATGGGTGGGTAGGTACTTTATTTACGTCGTATTAGAGCTGCATAATGGGCTATTGGCGATCGTCTGGGAAGCATCCCTGAGGATGATCCGAAAACATGGCATCGCAATTTTGATCCTCTGCAGAGTTAATGGCTCCTCTGCTTTGGCAGCGTTAATAAAGTGACCTGCGTGCGAAGTTGAGTACTTTACGGTAGAACTGTTTAAAGGAAAGCTTAAAATGTTACAATAATTATTATAAAAAAATTCTTTATCGCCGTTTTTCTTGTGATTTTCGTCGGTGGACATAAAAACTTTGATTCAACTTTTTATTGTTTTTCACCAATGAAAATATTCACTCTTTCTGATAAAACAACCTGTCACCCCCTTGAACAACAAATGCATACCACAATAAAGTCTCATAGTATGAAATCACAAATCACGTTTCAGTAATCTTTGGTCATTTCCAGTCGATCATCGAGTCAAGTCAATGTATATGTTCACGTTATGAGCTGCATTGGCTGCGGTCAGTGAGTTGGTGGATGGCCACTTTGATTAGCTTGTGAAGGGACCGAGTAAGCGAGGTATAAAATTGTGCACGCAATTATTTGCGTTGGCGAGTGATTGCAAGTAATAGGCTTAATATATTTAAAATCTATATAAAATAAATAAATGTAATAAAGCTGAAGTATTAAATAAAACTAAAGTGAAGCTCTTTGAAAAAAACTGCATCGAGGGTTGGTGAGCAATTGTAAGCAGATTAACGAAAAAAAATTATTTAATAGTATTTACTGAAAAAAGCAACAAAAAAAAGTACTTTAAGTTGGTTATAAGGTTGATTCTTTTGAGTAATACAAGACTATCCAGAAAGAAACTATTGCTGAATAAAAATTTATAGTACATCCCAGCAACGACTGTCAATTTTTGGGACACATTTTAAAAGTGGATAATGGTTAAAAATATTTTTAATGCTATTAATAACAAAAGTATGAAAAATTGGAAATTAAATATACCTGAGACATTATTTTGTGTTTTCTCTAGAGCTTTCTAATTCATTAAAAAGAAGAATTTTCAATCTACTAGTTTGATGCTTTAAAATTGTCAATATTTTGGTATTGACAACTTTTGACTCTTTTTTAAGCATTGAAATTTATATCCTTAGTTACGCAAGTTTGCGATTCATTGCTTGTACAGAAATGTAGGGAAGAAAATAAAACGTTCGTGTTTAAATTTCTTAATTTATATTTTCAGTAAATAATACATTACATTAACTTATACATTAACAATAATACATCAGCTTATTTAAATTCTTTAAACTAAACATATGAAATCAGCATTAAAATTATATGTTATTGTTTTTTTTTCCTTTTCTGAAAAAATCAAGTCCAAATGAAAAAAAATATTCTTTTAAATATTTTAAACAGTTCAAGAAATATGGTGGAATGCGCCTAAAGTAAAGCTAGCATTAGAATTAAAATAAATTTGAGTATTGATTGCTTTCCTGATTAAATTATTGGGTCCAAATGTCTAATTTTAAAAGTTATCAATCGAAATGAATCCAAAAAGCTAAGATAATTCAAAGTAACGCTTTTATGCTTGACTTTTTTTTTTCTAGTTAAATATGTCTACAGTAATTAATTTGCCTCGTTAAGGTCAACCTCTTAAACTATTGTGTAGATTATCTAGGTAGTTTGCAAGTCACCTATTGAAATGAAATACTTTTATCGACTATGGATCAGCCTAGTTAATCTGAACATTAGCTAGATAAACTAACTGATTTCTTTAATTTAGCGGTGACATGTATATGAGACGTTAGGTTCGAAATTGCTCCAGTAGCGAGATATCATCATGACTTAATCTTGGCGGCCAGTTAAGTAGCCACGCCTATACTCGGAAGGAGGCTTGTTTAGATCTGTTGTGGTTAAAAGTCCTCTCTCGTTAGTAGTGGTGTTGAAACTTGAAGAAAGATGTGCCAGCTCAGGCGTTGTTCACGTCGTCTAACTGGATCTAAATTGTTGGACATTACTGATATGGCTGTAAAAAGATAGAGCCCTGAAAGATAGAACTTCGCCAGGTTTGATTGATGTGTTAGATTCAAGCCCTGTGTGCGCCAGAGTTGAGAACGGAATGCAAAGGTGTCTAACTAGTACAATCTTTCTTTGAAATTTTACCACTAAAAAAATGAAAATCGGGGCTGTCCCGAAAGACCTGCAAAATTTACTACATAGATTTGTATTTCTTTTGGCAAATGAAATTGATAATACATCTAATTAGCAAGATATCCTATACCATTCAATAATAGCAGATACGACAGTTTAGTTTGTTGTTAAAACTATTTCGTTTAACGCTAACTAGTTTTAACCAAAAAGATCCAGAAACATCATTAGATCATGCCTTCAAAAGACCTGCAAGGGAGGAAGATTTTTTTCAAAATTTTGTTTTTATTTTAAACATATAATTGCTACAAATGTTCTAACAAGAATTTTCAAAATGAGCATATTGTCACAAATCATTCTGAATATCTCATACACAAATATGAGAAAATTGTATTAAAGTTATTGCACTAAATGGTAATATTTCTGGTAAGAAAAACATAATTCTGTGTAATAAAACTAAAATATACAGTATATAAACAATTTATTTAGTAATTTTTCCCTTTATGTGATAAACGGTTTTCCCGAAATTCCGGTTTCAAAAATTAAAGTACTTGTCCTCACACAGTTAGTAAAAGTTGCAAAACTGAAAGGTAAATTTAACCGAATAAATGTTTCTTATGCCATGCTCTAAGATTTCATGACAAAATTACCAAATTTTATTACTTATCACAAAACCATAATTTATTGTTAATTTTACCAAAATCATAATCAAAGCGCTTAGGTAAAATTTAACAAGCATTTTGGCGGTCCTTCAAAAGCTATAAATTTTACTATATTCTGGTAGTTTTGTGCATACTTTTTCTCGTAGTGTACAATAAATATTTTGGCACTGTCCTTAATCAATTGCGTACACTGTTTGGCGCTGTCCTTAATCAATTGCGTACATTGTTTGGCGCTTAGAAATATTAAAAAGTTTATCATTTTTACAAGGATTGAAAAAACCTAACTTAAATCGAAAAATAATTTTAAAATAAAAACAGAAAATTATATCGATTTGACTCTGTAATGAAACCTAAATTTTCATTCAACGAAAGATACGTTCCCATTGCATATAATATTTCATTTCGACAACTGAACAAAGAATATGGAATTTACATAGAAAATGATGTTAAAGAAAGCCTTTAAAAAAGGAATTATAAATTTTATTACTTATCACAAAACCATAATTTATTGTTAATTTTACCAAAATCATTATGAAAGCCTAAATTTTCCTTCAACGAAAGATACTTTACCATTGCATATCATTTCGA